TTAATAATAACTAGAAAAATTGCATGCATTTGCCTTTGATCCAGAAATAACTCCAGGAATCTATCTAAGACACATTGGCAAAAATGTGAAAACCTCAGGAATATTTATTGCACCAATATTTGTGATAGCAGAAGTCTTAAAACTCAATGGACTTAATGGACTTAAATGTTCAGCTTTATATCTAAAACTGTTTATAATTTTTAAAATGTAAGGAAAAGAAAATTTAAAAAATTTATGGAGAAAACATTTTTTAAATGATTGTTTCTAAGTCAAGGAAGAAGAGAAAGGGGTGGTGGTTAGAAAGTAGTTAAACTTCTGTAGAATGCACATGATTTTTTACACTTCACTTTAAGAATTTAAATTGTTGATAAAACATATTTTAATGTTTTAGAACTGAACTGAAAGAATTTATACAGAAAGTCATTTTTAAGTCTGTAGATTTGAACTCAATTTTTGTAACAGAACATTAAATTCTATTCTGCAGTCAATCATACCTAACAGATAATCAGGCATGTATTAAAGCAAACTACATGTGGACTGTACCATCACTGTGAGAGGTACTCCATTGTACAGCAGAGAAAGCTGAGGCTGGTGGAGAATCTCTCAGTTGGAAATCAGGTTACCGGATAAAATCTTTAAAATACCTTAGAAATAAAAGCTTCAATAGTTAATAACTGTATGAGAGAATAAAATCATTGCTTGTGTCTGTTCTCTTAATGGCCATGATCTCAAGATTCAAGAATTGAAATTCCTTCATATTTTAAGAAAGATATTTAGGCTTATGAATCACTTAAACTAGATGCTTGGATGAATTGAGAGTCCACTGAGTCGAACTCACAGACACCATCTTCAGTCTCTTAAAAGAATCAGACTTTTTATGATTAATTCTATGATCATAAATATTACATAATAATTTCAATAACTCTTCTTGCTAATCTCCAAGCCACATATAACAAAATCTAAAAAGCCAAAAGGCAAAGGACAAATTCATATACAAGCAGTTCTGCAAAGCCCCTTTGGGGTGGATTCATATATATATATACATATATATCATATATATATGATATATATGTATATATATATATGATTCCCTGCTGGCTCAGACAGTAAAGAATCTGCCTGCAATGCAGGAGACCTGAGTTTGATCCCTGAGTCAGGAAGATCCCTTGGAGAAGGGAATGGTTACCCACTACAGTATTCTTGCCTGGAGAATTCCATGCACAGAGGAGCCTGACAGACTACAGTCCATGGGGTCGCAAAGAGTCAGACACAACTGAGAAACATGTGTGTGTGTGTGTGTGTGTGTGTGTATAATTTACCAGAGGAGGAAATCCAGTTTCAGGAAGCATTAGTAACTTTACTAAGTTTCTAAGTAAATAACAAAATCACTTCCTTAACTAAGGAGGTAAATAGCAGACCCTAGATTTAGAGCTGTTTTCTGATTTATCCCAGATGTCTCTATCTCAGAGGTCTCTCTCAGGTTATCAAGTTAAGGTAGCTGTGAAATTTTTATTTGTTTTATTTTTGCCATGCAAGTGAGGATATCTGTTCCATTTCTCTGGATATTTATGCATCAATACAGAGATCAAGAATAATATTGTAATAAAATGCATTTAGAATCTCATTAGTTTTGATACTAAATAACAAAAAATCTGTAAACAAATACATAAAATGTTCTTCTAATGTAACCTTGAATGTCCTTTTTCACTTGAACTTCAAAACACTGTAATAGTTTCATGTGTAGTATTTATATCTGTATTTCTTATTAATAGTTATTAATCATGTGTTTCATTAGCAACCATGCCCCAAAAAAATCACGATCAAGATATTAAAACAAGTGTGGGATGATGACAATTGTATTAACAACTAAAGTGAAAGTCGCTCAGTCATTTCCAACACTTTGTGATCCCATGGATTATATAGCCCATGAAATTCTCCAGGCCAGAATACTGCAGGGGGTAGCCTTTCCCCTCTCCACGGCATCTTCCCAACCCAGGGGTCAAATCCAGGTCTCCTTCAGTACAGATGGATTCTTTACCAGCTGAGCCACAAGAGAGGCCTGAGCATACTGGAGTAGGTAGCCTATCCCTTCTCCAGGGGATCTTCCAGACTCAGAATTTGAACCAGGATCTCCTGCATTGCAGGCGGATTCTTTAACAACTGAACTGTCAGGGAAGCCAATGAATAACTAAAACTAATATATATTTGAAATTCAAGAAGAGGGGAACATTTAGTATTTGTCTATGATATAGCTTAGCTAATACTGAATATGTTGTTTGAAGTAAGTATTTTTATGAAAAAATGTATGATATGGGTTTTATAGTAGTGGTAAATCTTGACTGATATGATGAATTTTTCTTTCTTTAAATAGAAAATGTAGGCTAAGAAGAAATATCAATAAAAAGATAAACATTCCTAATATACAAATAACATATGTGCATATACACACACACATATATATATGTATGTATGTCTTTTGCACACAGACAAAGCCAAAGAGAGACATTCTACTATGCAGTGATTGAGCATGTCTTGAGGAACCTATATAAAGTTGGCAGAGTAAATAGGTATACAAAATAGGAAGCATGCATTAAAAAAATGATAGAATCATCACTTTAAAGGATCTTCTTGGATTTGAATTATGAACCAGCTCTAATTAAATGTAATTTTAAAATAAAAGAATCTATAGTGTTGCACTTTGATCCTTCTAAAACTGTTATTAATTTATACAACAGGAAAAATAATGACTCACCAAGGATAAGAGGTAAGCCTCTGTGGTCAAAAATAAGTGTACCTATCTTTTTAAATTCCAGCACTTGGTTCAAAGTAGATCATCAAATATTTGTTGAACTAACTTGGATCATGTTTAAGAAATTTTGCCAATACTAGACCTAGAAGGAGACAAAAGAGTAATGCAACTTCAAAAATAAAAAGTGAATGGAACTTTCAAAACCTGTGATGGTAGAAAAAGGAAGTTTATAATATTGTTCAGTGTTGATTGGTCAGGCTATCCTTAGAACACTGTTTTAAGAGCAGATCTACAAACTATAATGTGACTAGAAAAGAGGCCAATTCCTGAAAGAATTCAAAGCTACATCTTTTAAGACCCAGTCTAAGGAAGGTAATGTTTAATTGGCAGAAGAGACTACTCAGTTATTTTCAAATATATGAAGTATAATCACAATGACTTATTTATTAAATCACTCAATTGCATTATGTATTTCATTTAATCCTGGGAAAAGTCATATGAGATATTGCTCATTTTTTTCCACTGATGAGAATGCTGTCATTCAGTCAGGTAAAGAAACATATCCAAATTCCTACAGCTAAAAAGTTTAAGTTACAGATCTAAGGTTCACAAAAGGATCTGACTTTAAGGCAAGGACTTATTATACTGTGCTTATTTGTCTTTAACATGAGTAAGTTTAGACTGGTTCTGTGTGTCCTCAAGAGACTGAATAATGGCAGACAGATTTCGGCTGAATATGGGTGAATTAATATATTAGTTCATAGAAGAATATGTGGTGAAACTTTTTTATTATTCTGTAGGAGATCTGTATAACATTTTATTGCTGAAATTATATCCTTCAACATAAAAAAAGATAAAAATAATACTGAACATTGGCAAAATCATCTATGATTAGTGGAGTTTACCAGTGCCATGTTTTCAAGACAAGTGATAAAAATAATATTGGAATTAAATGTTCTTTCCAAGCTCCCTACCTCCCCCTGATCCCTGTTCACCAAGGATATAGCTTTCTACAACCAACTGGGGATCTTTAATGATAGTGTTAGTAATTAAAAGATACATATGCAGACAAATATACCTATGAAGAATTACTTCAGAATTTGTGTTAACATTACTTAAAAACAAAGACAAAACAAAATTTATGAATAAAGTAGAAACATTTATGGATTTAAAAGTGAATTATCAAATTTTAAAGCATATCAATAATCCTCTATGAACCATTCCAGTTCCAGATGTCTATGTAGTTTTTCCTGGAATGTCTACACTAGGATACACTGAAATAATACAAATACTTGGTTTTCACAATCTTCTACTGAGAAGCACATAGAGGAAGACTGGAGATAAAACCAATAATTAAAAACCCCAAACCTATGAGATTCATATATGGAATGTCACCCTTGTCTTTCTTTGACTTTTCTGGACACCACAACTTCCTGTGCCTCTTTGTCAGCAAGCTAGAAATTAGATGTAAATAAAGCTTCTACTACAGGAGAAATAAGCGAATATGAAATAAAGGGAATACATATCCTCTCTAAAAGTTTGTTTCTCATCTCTTTTTCAGAGAAGGAATCACTCTTGTTCCAGGCAGGGTTGAAGGGTTGGAAATTCTCTTTTAGTAATGAGACACAGTGACTTTTTCTGCAGACAGAAGAAGTCTGAGGCAAGGAGGGCTACAGAAGAGGATTCTATATACCCTGCCCCATGTGATTGCTTAGGCAGCAGGGATAGAAGAGCGCTCGGGTCTGGGATGTCAGGGTGGCGTCAGACCAGTGTCTTTTCTGTCATGGCACTGAGAAAACGGCACTGAGAAAATGTGAGGTCAGCCCCCTTCCCTACGCTCTGCATCCGCCAAAAACTCTCCGTTTGTCTCACTCACAACCCCTTCCCTCCAACTCCCTTCCTGGTCCTGCCTGTCCTTAGAGGTGTTTGCACAGAAGAGTGCAGAGTGGGGAAACCGAGTCGTTGGATCGCTTTGCGCAAAATCCACTTCTTTCTCCTCCCTCGGCTCCAGCCTCCGGATCCCGCACAGCCCTCCCCTCCTTCCCCCCGGCGGTGTGGGGCTGGAGCCCTGTCTGTGTACCTCTAAGGTGGGAGGGGGCTGCAAGCAGAGGATAATGTCAGATGCTTGGCTCTCGCCTGCCTGACGCTCCTCTCTGGCTCCGCCGGGGTTGGTCGCTGTAAGAAATAACAGGAGCTGTGGCAGCGGCGAGACGAAGCGGCTCGCGCGTGGAACCCGAAAAGTCAGGGTGCTCGCGGTTCCTCCCAACGTGGTCCCGGCCGGCGGTCAGCACCATGGACAGCGGCGCCGTCCCCACGAACGCCAGCAACTGCACTGATCCCTTCACACACCCTTCGAGTTGCTCCCCAGCACCTAGTCCCAGCTCCTGGGTCAACTTCTCCCACTTAGAAGGCAACCTGTCCGACCCATGCGGTCCGAACCGCACCGAGCGGGGCGGGAGCGACGTCCTGTGCCCTTCGGCCGGCAGCCCTTCCATGATCACGGCCATCATCATCATGGCCCTCTACTCCATCGTGTGCGTGGTGGGGCTCTTCGGAAACTTCCTGGTCATGTATGTGATTGTCAGGTAAGGAAGGCCAGAGGGCTCCGGATTTCCGTGGCTAATCCAGGCATAAGGGGGGGGGGGGGGGGGAGGATGAGAAAAAAGGAGGTAAAACAGGGGAGAATGTAGAGGTGAAAGTAGACAGAGTGGTTGCTACTTGAGTACAAAAGCTTACTTTTCTATTCTTCCCTCCGTTAATAAAGAATCCAAAATTTCAGAAACAGAAGTTGTTTTGGTAAAAGCTCTAAAGCTCTGGCCAAACAAAAACAAACAAACAAAAAAACCCTCAATCTTAACAGCTTGCTTATGCTGAGCCAAAAGAGCTCTGGGCTCTTAAGCACAGTGTCCCATAGTCCCTTCCAAAGGAGCTGTGGAAACAATAATTAGTGGAAAATAGAAGAGAAATTCTAGTTATTTCATCCTTAATTGGGGGGAGGAGGGGCAGATTTCCTTCTCTGTTCTTTTCAGAGATGAACTTCGGCGACTTTCCTGCTCCTGCTGATTCCAGCGTATTTGCTGCACCATTCTGCACCCTCCTCTTCCTCACTCGTAGAGGAAGTTTTTCTGGTGTCTTTCCACAGTAAATGGTGCTGTTTTGCTGTAAGGTGATGGCTGTGTTGCCTAGACCAGTTTGCAGTTGGCAGCTACAGATTTGCTAGTGGAGTCACAAACTGAATCAGGAACAGGTCAGGTGGTTTGGAACTGCAGGACATGACTGTTTTTCGATGCCCCCCAAAGTTGAAACAAGTTAGAAGTGACCAAAAACAGCATAATTCTGGATGATAAACTATTACACAGGAAGTTGTCATGATTGCTCTAGAAAAATTAAAAAGTGTCTTCATCTAATGAGATTATTTCAGAAGAGTCTATGGCCCAGTTTCTATTTGTCCAGATGTTCCAGATTCATTTGGCAAAAAGCGTACAAGTTCAATATCAACTGAGATTGATGTAGATTGTGTTAGTGTTGATGTGCCTATTCAAATCCTACATGTTAATATGGAATACTATATTTTAACTTTTGAGAAGTAGATAATTATTTTAACACTTTAAAATGGCTCCTGATTTAGGATGTTCTTCCTACTAGAGGTTCTATGGTACTTCCATGTTTGTCTGCAAAATTGGCTTCATCTATTCAGCAAGTACTGCAGGTTTCAGTGGAGCTCTTAAATCACTCAACAATCATTTTTTCCATTATGCTTTCATTAAGATGCTACAAGTTATTTGTAATCAATTCTTTCTACTTTTAGGTCTGATTTTTTTATTTTTCATAAATTTTTTATATTAATGATTGTTAAAGATTAAAACTAATTTTCTTGATCTTTTGATGAGGAATCATATAAGTAGTTTCTCTGAGTAAAGAGCACCATCTATTGCAAAGAAAGATAACAACAAAAGGAAAAATGCAGGAAGAGAATCAGTGGAAGAATTTATCTTTAAAATATTTACTTTATGTAGTTCAATACAAAGCTTCCTATCAGATATAAAAACTATCTTATTTTGCATTTATGATAATAAAAATAGCAACTACATCCCTGCCCCATGAAGGGAAAATTCCTCATTTCTCCTAAGAAAATTCATGGAATCATAAGCTTATAGGGCCATAAGGGAACCTAGAGGTTTTCTAGGCTAGGTGAGTAAAATGTGGCACAGAAAATATAAATGATTTCTCCAAGGACAGATAAGTTCATTAGCTCAATACCATGGAATTGCTCTTAGCCAATGTAATTTTCTGTTTATTAGAGTGGCTCATGATTTGAGTTAATTCAACTACAAGATTGACAGAGTAATGTGGAAATAATAAATTAATCCAAATTTATGTCTGTAATCCTGGAGAATGAAGAATGAAGAGAAATCATAAAACCATCTTGAAATGCTGTCGTCTAAAACATAATCATTTATGCTTTTATTGCTTCTCTTGGTATTTTCCATCCTCATTTTTCTCCTCTCTGGCTTATGCTTTTCTATAAAGCAGAGAGCCAATAGAGCAACAACTGGCTGTGGAATAAACAGATTAGCTTTATTCTAGTGTTGAAGATATTACTAGTTGGGTGATTTTGTTTTAAAGGTATTACCTCTGAACTTTTGATGACTTGGAAAAGGATGGTGACCTTGTCTCTTACTGAGAACATGATATTATGCTTTATTTTTCTGTGCTTAAAGTTCCAACCAGAATACAGGACTATTTGAAAAGGCACCTCAAACACCCACCTGTGAAAGTCAGGTATTTAATTCCAAGGTTAGGTAACCATCTGGGAATACAACTGTGAGACAGAAAAATAGTTCAGTAACCAATGAAGTAATGAGAAAAGCTTTTAGGGAGTAAAGGAACTATATCTATTTAGCTGAGAATATTTAACTAGACTATCTCCATGCTATGGTTATTTCACTACGAAGTGATCAATTCACAGATATTATTGCCTCTGTTAAAAAGATTAATATAATGCTGTATCTATTAAAGTACTGAGATAAAATACTTCTTGCTATTATTCAAAATTCAACAAATACTTTTGAATTATTAAGTAGCTAGGGTTTTCTAACCAAATAAACATAACATTTATTAGAATGTCTCATTACATTGACTAAACCTTGAGGCACCAAAGACAGTGGCAGCAAAATAACAACAAAGATAACAGCAAAAATAACAACAAAGATACTATAGACGCCTTGATTAGTTATTTTCTCTCCTGTGTCTTCACTCTATCATCATCATACCTTCATCAACAACATTATTAAATAATATAACGTAAGTATCATTCTTACAGTGTTGTTCTAAGAAACATAAGGGAGAAAAAGAGATAATGTCATATATCTAAAGTTTTAAAATCCAGATGTTAGATGATAGAGTGTTATAACTATTCATTAGCTAAAAGGCTTTTTGGTCTTAAAGAAAAAATTACTTGTGGGATAACTATGTTATAAAAATCACAGCAAATATTCTGGAAAATTTGGTGATAAAATATTACAAAATATGGCAATCATTATTTTTTTGGAAGTAGAAAAGCAGAGTTTTATTGTTTTGCCAGGCAAAGGGGGACAGAGTGGGCTTCTGCCCCAGAAACTGTGCAGTCCCACATAGGAGGATTTGATGAGTTTCATAGCAATAGTTCAAAGGTCAGATTGCTGATAAGTTTAGTGTGTGTAAGGACCTATACTCCTTGAATCTGGCCTCAGGTGGTCTCCTGGTGTGCATTTCTGGTTCCTTAAATCTGGGCTCAGGTGGTTTTCTCTGGCGTGAAGAATGCTGACATCTTCCACTTGTTGGGGTTTTTTTTAATTTCCTTTTTTTTAATTTAAACTTTTTATTTTCTATTGGGATATAGCTGATTAATAATATTATGATAGGTGAACAGTGAAGGGATTCAGCCATACATATACATGTATCCTTTCTTCCCCAAATTCCTCTCCCATCCAGACTGAATGTGGCCATTGTTTAAACTGGGATAGTAGTATATTATTGTCAAGAATGTTTTAAAGAAAAAAATCAACCAAAATAATGCACAGTTCTGCATAGATCACAAGGCACATTGGAAGGTCTGGTCCACATTGTGACCATTTCAAGCCATATGCTAGCTTTTCCTCCTTTTCTGTTTCATTTTTCTTCTTTCCTATCTTTGCTATTATTTGTTCAGTAGCTAAGTCATGTCTAATTCTTTGCGACCCATGGACTGCAGCACACCAGGCTTTCCTGTCCTTCACTATCTCCTGGAGTTTATTCAAAGTCATGTTCATTGAATTGGTGATGCCATCCAACCATCCTCTCTCACCCTCTTCCTCTCCTGCCCTCAATCTTTCCCAGCATCAGGGTCGTTTCCAATGAGTTGGCTCTCCCCATCGGGTGGCCAAAGTATTGGAGCTTCAGCATCGATCATTCCAATGAATATTCAGGGTTGATTTCCTTTAGGATTGACTGCTTTGATCTCCCTGGGGTCCAAGGGACTCTCGAGAGTCTTCTCCAGTGCCACAGTGTGAAAGCATCAGTTCTTCAGTGCTCAGCCTTCCTCCCACCTCGGTTCCCTGAAATCTCTTTCCAAAATGACTTACCTTCACCCAAGCTCTTATCTCAAGCACTGCAAAGCTCATCATTTCTGTTATTTTATAACTGGCTACAATGTAAATTCTGATTAATAAATAGAGCTTTACAGACTCATTGAGTGTAGGTTTACCACACTAATTATTTCACTACTCTAATTGTTCTTGACAATTAGAAATTCTTAAGAAAAATTCTACACAACCCCAGTCAGAACTACCACGACAGTTTATAAACCAAGCTTTTCCTTTCAATTTTTTTCTGCCTCAGGATTCAGGAAAGGTTTTAGTACATTTTGCTTAATGGATATGAAGTAGGCAACAGCCATGGATAGCATTCGGCATATTTGAGGTCAGAGTGTTGGTAGCAGTAGGATCTCTGATGTGTAAAGAAAGGGAGGGTTTCTGAAGACACAAACTACTGTCTCTTTTTCCACTGATCCCTTGTGTAATAACTGTAAGAATACTCGTAACAGGTAAGCTCAAGCAAATGTCAGGGCCCTTGAAAGTGAAGTGAAACAACAGACACAAGAAGCATCACATACAAGAAACATCCTTTAATGATCTTGTCATAGCAACTCCTTTCTTTACCCATCCGTTCTTGCTTCAGGCCACCTTATTTCCTTCCCCACCGGTACCTCAGTCTAAGAGTCCTTGAGTCAAGAAATAAATCCAGAATGAAAGAGCAGCGTGGAAGAGAAGTGCCAATAATGGTTCAGCCTCAAACTCTCAGTGCATAATATTCCTCTTCTGCCAGATGGGTTACCTGGACTAACATCGAGTCTACTTGGTAACTAGTAGTGCTAACATTTTCTATGGTGACTTCACGGGCTGTTTCGCCACAGTTTTTCCACCTCTACTATCTGGAGAAAAGAAGCTAGTTATCTACAACATTAAATAATTTCGCATTCCATCTCACTTCCTTGGATTCTAAATGAGCTCAAATGGATTCTGTCAGAGAGAGAAAATGCTGAGTTGCCAGATGTTGTAGTGGCTGA